CTTTTTATCCAGTGCTTCCAGATCTTAGTGTCTGCAGGCTGCATGGGAAGAACTTTGGGCATTGCAGCAGCAGTAACATATTACCTCCTGTGCGACTCTCCACGCACTTGCCTGAGGCTGTTGTCCCTGCATTCTCCACGCTGCTGTTGGAAGGCTTACCAGCAGAAGTCTGTCTGAATTGCAACAAGAAATGGACTCCTTCCCCCTCAGTTTTTCATGTATTTTTTTTGGCCTGCTGAAAGCAACATTGGAGCTTTAATTTGCTAGGAGGACAACCTGTTGAGATGCCCTGCTTAAAAAGGATATGACGACAGACACTGGTGAGGCAACAGACGTTAGCATCTGAGCCTCTAGCTTCCCTCCCCACAAGCATGCAGTGTCTGAGGGCCCAGCATCTGCCTGAACACTGTAGGGACACGTCCTACTAACCACCCCCCTGGAGCAACCGAATGAGAAGTCTGGGAAGCTCCACATGGGCCATCGCTCTCATCTAGCACAAGTGGAAAGCAGCTCGGGGACTGCTGGTGTCATCTGGCGTCTTGAGGCTCAAGAACTCTTCATTTTTCTTGTGGCAGGATTACAGCAGTGATTGGAGCCCCAAAGATACAGTCAGGCGAATGCAGAGGGGCAAGGTAAGGACTTCCCACTCCCACCTGCTTGCAAGAGATGGAGGGTGGGTGCTCCTGAACTGCTTTACACTTCCCTATGCTCCTGGCTATTTCAGCAGCAGGGAGGGGATCCGTGTCACTTGCAGCATCTAGCAGGGACGGTGCTCTGCCTGTCTGCTGCTTTGCCACATGGCAGTGCTAGGTTCACACTAGCTCAGGAGCAGCAGGAGACCTCCAGGGTTTTGTTGCTTTGTTTGCTGGAGTCATCCCCTCAGCTAGGCTCTGGCAGGAGGTGTCTGTGCTGCTGTGTCCCAGTCTACCGTTTCTGCTCCCTGGGGCTGGGCTTATGGAGAACATCTGAGGGTGTGGGGCTTTACTTCCCCTTCTTAGTTGGTGGCAAAGGGAGCGAGGAAGATGGAAGCAATCTCGGTGATGCTGGAGCTGGAATCTTAGTCTCAGCTGCCTCAGTTTGCAGTGAGCACCCAGGGAGTGTGTGTCCCATCAAAGGCTGAGGTGAACAAAAGGCTGAGAGAGGCTACAATTATGGGGTAGGAAGAAGGGAGGAAGAGTCTTACAACTTTACTTTTCTGGTCTCCTCCATGGAAAGGGCCCTGCAGAGTTCCCTCCTCCTGTCAGGGCTGGTGGTTTGTGGTGTGCAAGGAATTTTTGCCTTGTTACAAGGGTGTTTGCTGAATGTACAATGTCTGCTGTCCTAGCCTGGGCAGTAATGAGGGCTAACTCTGCACCCCTGTGGACAGATTCCCAGGGATCATGCAGCCCGTGGTTTCAGCTAAATGAGAAGTTCTCTGCTGGTTGGGAGGGCAGTTATTCATATTGCTGAAGGGCTCTTAGGGGATGAATGAGTAGTACCTTGGGGGCTGGTTGAGCCTGGGGATTGTCTGAAGTCCCATGTGCCTACTTATATCTCTTCTGTCTCCAGGTCTGCTCTCTAGAGAGATTTCGCTCCCTGCAGCACAAGCTGGTGCTCTTGGATGAAGCTGTGGCAGGGCATGATGGGAATGTCATTACAGCTGTGAGTCCTGCTGGGGCCATGTAGGGCTGTGACCCTACAGAGGGTGCTTGTGTGAATGCAGTCAGTCGGCCACCCAGTCTTGCAGGATGGGGAGTTCTTCTTTACTTAAAACTAAGAAGTTGCTGAGAAGTGTCAGAGCTTAAAATTGGGAAGTTCCATATTCCCGCTGGCTTTCCTGCTGCTCTGCAGAGTTCGTGTTAGGTTACTAACAAGGAACCTTATCCTTCAGCCTATGGATCTGTGCAGCAACTTCATGAAAGCTGAGGTTTTAATCTGCTCATTGCAGCACAGGAGATTTGAGGGACCTCTCCAGTTCTTCTGGATTCCAAAGCATCGGACAGCAAATGGGACTGTGTCAGAGCTTGCCTCATCCAGGTCTTTTAAGCCCTTGGATCTCTCGTGGAAATGTTTTTCTTTGTAAATCTTGTCCTCACTTATCTAAGCTCCAGAGTAGGAGCTTAGGCAGGCATCCAGGCAGCTGTGGCCTTGGCTCACTGCTTGTCCCATGCCTAGTGGGTAGCAGAATTCAGTTCAGGGCTATAAGAGCTGTGTCTTCAGAGGCCCTTTGCAAAAGCTTCCCGAGGCCTTGACCAGTTGGCTGGCTGACTGTCTGTCTTAATTCTGGTGAAGACTGATCTGGTCAGCTGAGGGCTGCCTCTCTGTGCTCACAGGTCCTGATATTCCTGAAACGGACGCTAAGGAGAGGTAAGTGTGACTGGGGACAGGGCTTCTGTAGTGTGTTTCAGTTAAGGGCAGAGGGACTAATTATTTCACTGGGTGCAAGCCACAAAGAGAGCATCTGGGTATTGCTGCTTTACTGAGCATGAAATATTTTTGCAACAAATGTAACATGGGAGGGGGGATGGTGATGCCCGCAAAGGCCCCAGAGAGGAGCGTTAAGCAGTGGTAGGTGGTTGTGGTGATGGGATGAATGAAAATGAATCTGTAGGGGTAGCACACTACTGTGAATTCAGCTGGCAGCTTAGCCTGCAAGACTGTGCTTTGAGATGGGATAAGGTTGTTGAATCCTGCCAATGGCTTGCAACTCCGTGCACTGTGCTTAGCCCCTTCTGGCTTGGTAGTGCTAACTTACTTTACCCACCTGTACATATCTCTCTCCTGTAGAGATCTTGTTTCGGGAGCTGGAGGTGCGGCAGGTGGCCCTATGTCATCTGATCCATTTCCTCAAAGAGACGGGCGAGCAGAAGTTGCTTCTGGACCTGCTCAGGTGAGGGTGTTGCCCAGCCTTGTGATGGGGCTGAGCACGCTGCTAGGAACCTGCCTCCAAGTTAATGGTTGCTCATTCCTTCTTGCAGGTTCCTAGACAGGACTGAGGAAGTTGCTGTGAGTATTCCCAGGAGCAGAAGCTCCCTTTCCTCAATGAAGAGGGAGTGTAGTGGGCAGGGGGAGGCTGGCTGCACAGTGTCTGGTAGTCAGGCGAGAGCTTTGCATCCCCATTTTGCCCTCTGGAGTCCTGTATCTCCCAAATCCATGAGAACAGACTGTGCTGCTTTTCCCTCTCCCTCTAGCTGTCCCAGTACCGGGAGCATCTGAACATCCAGGATGTAGAAAAAAGGAGGGAATTTCTGAAAGGCTGCATTGGGTAAGAAAAAATGCAAGAGTGTTGGAGGGGTGTGGGTGATTCACAGAAGGTGGTAGCAAAGGAAATTAGACCTCTGTTCCAGTGCCACAGCTTATGTAGTGGGAGAGCTGATGTTGGTTTTGCCTCAGTGGGAGTGGGGTGTTGTGGACACAGTGGAGACCAGAGAGGAGGAATTTGTGGTGATCCCTAGTCCAGCAGCTTTTGCTGCCTATTTGGGGGCAAAGATGCTTGAGGGACCTTCTGATCATTGGCCCTTCAGGTTGTCAAGGTTGAAAGCTTGGGTGCCGGAGCACTTGAGGAAATTGGTAGCATCAGATTTAAGTTGTTCTGTGAGAGATGCCACATATTTCCTTCCCTGGAGCCCTTCTAGGAGAAAGCCAGTTGGAGAGGGCAGCGGGGCAGGAGCTTGAGTACCTACTCGCCACTCGGGCTGGGGAGAATGGGAGGTGGGGAGCATGTTTGGTAGAGAAGAGCATCCTTGCAAGTGTACTGTGTTAAGAGCTGCTGACAGTGTCTCCTTCCTCCACGTCTGGCCAGGCTGCCATTTTCAGCTGAGGATACCTCCCATATCCAAGACCATTTTACCCTCTTGGAGCGACAGATCATCATTGAGGTATGAAATCTTCCCTGCTGGTCAGGAGATGACTGGGACTAGCTGCAAGATTTCTGTCTGTCCCTAACTTAGACCACTTTGGATCTCATCAGCCTGCCCTGGCTAGTGTAGTTTAGCTGCTGTCCAAGATGCTGTGACAGGCACATGTGTGAAATACCAGACCCGAGGCCTCATGGCCTGTTGAGGCTGCGCTTGTGCGTTGCTGTCACAACGCTGTCCCCAGGTCTCTACCTCACAGCTAGGTCACGCTGTCCACTGGCTCGTGTTCATCTTCTGTGTCTTCCTGTTTCCGCAGGCCAATGATCGGCACTTGGAGACAGCTGGGCAGTCAGAGATATTTCGGAAGTATCCTCGCAAGGCTTCAATTCTCAACATGCCACTAGTGACCACCCTCTTCTATTCCTGTTTCTACCACTACACAGAGGCTGAGGTGAGGATGATGTGGGAGAAGAGAAGGGTTACATCTCATCTGTGTAGCCCTCAATATGTGGGGTAGTTAAGCTGGGGCATGTTAAGGAAAGAGGCGGAAGGAGGTCATATTTCATCCTCCAGAGAGACCTACCTCCCCTTGTCCATCTGGGACCACTTTGAAGTTTTCTTTCGTGCTCTAAGATGGGACATTCAACCTGGGACAGCCTGTCAGGGAGTTGCCTCCTAGAAACTGCTGTCTTTTACTTCTGGCTCCAAGGAGCCAGAATCAGCCCTTAATCCCATGAGGCTGAGGTGTGATACTGGTCTTGGAAGTGCTGGAGGTGCACCAGTTGAGGGTGTAGGGGAAACCAAGCCAGAGACCTAATGGGCTGGGGTAGTTGCTCTCTTCTGCCAGCTGTTTCTTCCTGTGCCACTGACATGAGCAAAAAGCAGTGAAAACTTGGGGAGATTCACCCTGTGAGAGGCAAATGCCTTACAACAGCTGTCTGAACCTCTCCTGTGACCTGCCCTGCTGAGTTTGCGCTGACTTGTCTGCTCTCTCTAGGGAACGTTCAGCAGCCCAACCAACCTGAAGAAGACGTTTAAGGTACGTCAGTCTCCTGCTGTTGTGGCAGCGCTGCCTGGAAATGTGGGCAGCCAAATTGTATTTAGTGAGGGGACTTGGGCAGGAGGAGTTTGAAGGGCTCAGCACTGAGATAGGGAGGGGAGCATGACATCCTTCTTGAGCAGCCATTCTGGAGGCTCAGAAAGGCAAGTGGGAGCCACGTGGAGGCTTTCGCTGGGTGCACCCTGGCTGCAGCAGCACTTGCAAATCCCCTGCTCTCTGCAGTGCTGGCCCTGGCCACAGGCAGCATGTCACCTCCTTACCTCACTGCTGGTGTGGGTCCTGACAGGGCTGGGGGCAGATGCCGTTCCTGTCCAACCCACACGGGCCTTCTGAGCTGTGCTAGTGCTCTGACTGCAGCTTTGTGCCTTGCAGATTCCTGATAAGCAGTATGTGCTGACTGCCCTGGCTGCCCGTGCCAAGCTGCGAGCCTGGGATGATGTGGATGCCCTCTTCACCACCAAGGTGAGCTGCGGAAAGCCTTGCTGGGCACGCAGTTCCAAGTACTGATATGTACTACTGATAGCTGGCTTGTTCTGGAGTTACCAGACAGACTGCTTTTATTTCAGCAGGGCCCAGCACATCTGTGCTCCCTCCTCTCACTGCTCAAGACCTCTGCTGGGCCTGGCTTGGCTGCAGCAGCAAGATCAGAGGCGGGGGCTGCCCCCCTCATGCTCTGTTACCAAAGGGTTCACCACCAGCCACTGCATGAAGGGCTCTGCCAGTGGTGCTTGTGGTGTACGTTGCTGGCACTGGAGGAAAACATTTCTTGTGGCTGGAGAAATTGCCCTTTAGGATTAACATAGGGGTTTGGCTCTCATTTCAGAACTGGCTGGGCTACACCAAGAAGAAGGCACCTATTGGCTTCCACCGGGTGGTGGAGATATTGCAGAGGAACAATGCTCCTGTGCAGGTGAGCAAGGAACCACTGCTTATGTCCTCCTGCTCTTTGTTGGGATTTGGGGTGTGAATGATGCCCCAAGTGAGCTGCTTCCCAGCTGGGAGTGGGAGATCAGCTTGCGGAGGTGCTGGCTCTGCCAGGTGGGCACAGCACTCAGCTGGGCAACCCATGCATCGACAGAAGGTGGTAGTGAGGTCTGGGTCCCTGGTCTGACTGCAAGAGGGACAGCGAGCGTGGAGTTGCCTGGGAGCTCTCTCCCCACAGCGCATTGCCATCTTTGTTTGCTACGTTAACTTTTTATGCTTAATCTGGCTGGCAGTGGTTAACCCGGTCCATAGGAATGAGGTAGCGTAGGACTGTTGAGCTTTGTGAGCACAGCTTTACTGCCTCTGGGGTCCCGAGCAGCCTTGTCCTGGTTGCTTGTTGCCTCAGGAAGGAAGGGGTCAAGTCTGTGTGACCAGTGACTTTGGAAGGTTTTGTGACTGGGGTGAGAGAACGAGGCAGGAGGTACCTGCAGAGTGAGCTGAGACGCTTCTTTCCCTCGCAGGTGCTGCAGGAGTATGTGCGCCTGGTGGAGGATGTGGAGACACGGTTGAACCTTGCCACCAAGTACAAGTGCCATGATGTTGTCATTGAGGTAGGTCCCTGCTGTCTCTGTCGGAAGTGGGACAGGAGCCTGCATTTTCTCCCTAGCTCCTGTGCTCTGCCACGTGCCACTGCTGTCTCATGCCTGGTGAGGTTTGTTTATCCCCGTGGCCTGGGAGCAGTGAGAAGTTTCCCAGTGGAAGCCAAGTGAGCCAGGAGAGCGGCTCCTGGTATTTGTGCTGTGGAATTGTGCTGCGGTGGGAACCTGAAGGGGGATTGAAGAGTTGCCCTGCTCATCTACAGGGCACCGTCTAACTGTGGAAGTGGCTTCTTCCCTCAGCTGGGTGCTGGTTTTGCTGTTTATCTAGACATACAGGGATCTGAAGGATCGCATCCAGCTGACAGCATATAAATGCAAGGTGGAGCGAGGCTCTGCAGAAGAAGAGAAGATAAACAGCATTCTCAGCAACATGGTAAGAAACACCTGCTTTGTCTTCCAGAGGCTCTCATTAGAAACAGCTGTAGATCAGGCATAAGGGCATGGCTGTCCTACATACTTTTTATCCCTGCTGGGAAGCTAATCTGGTGTTTGGGCTTGCATTCAGTGTAGAAGTGAAGGGTGAAACTGATAGCTGTAGCACCCTCTGGCCGTAGTTATCCTTTTCAGGGACTGGGACTCATGAACTTGGCCCCTGAGGAATCTGTGTTCAGCGCTGATGTTAGTTACATCTCATTCTCTCTTTTAGCAAATCCGGTGGAAGAACTGAGCACCTGTGAAGCAGCCTGTTTGGCCGGTGCCTTGCCAGTGAAAGAGGAGACTGCAAAACCCAGCCCAGTGCCAACAGAGCAACTCTGTTACTACTCATTGCATGATCAACATTCGTCAGTGACAGTGGGTGCCCGTGGCTTGTGGGACAGTGGCATTCAGGCTGGTTGAAGGCAGCTGCTCCAATGCAGCCAGCGAAACCACGGTACTGGTCCACCAGGCTTGATTCTTTTTGGAATCTGATTCTCTTTCACTTGGCTGTAAGCCAGGCATTGCTTTTGTTTACGGAGGGAAGTTGCTGGGCACAGCAAGGTTGCGTTTGCTCTGGGTGGTGCCTGGGCTGCTTCTCTCAAGAGGAACAGGTCAGTCCCTGCAACACTTCAAGCTGGCTTGGGCATCACCAGTCATGGCTGTGGCTGGAGTGAAGTCTACTGGACTGTGTTCTCCCTGACATCAAACAGTGCGTTGGGGGGAAGGGACCAGCTGCATCTTAAAGCTCTTTTTCTTTTTTTTTGTTGGTGTGTTCTGGCTCACCCTAGGAAAGAGAGAGGTGGTGAAAACTCCTGCAGAGAGCCAGGAGAGCAGCCTCTGCCAGTATCCTTGTGCTGGCACTCTGCAGCTCCTAGAAGGTCCCTTTAACAGGGAAGAACAGGTATCCAGTGTGGAGCTGGTCAGTGCCCCGCTGGGCTGGATGGAGAGCAAGGAGGGAACCCCCTCAGTTGGCACAAACCTGCTGGTCCCAGCAGCTCTTTCTCAGAGAGTGTTATGCCAGGAAGGACTGAATTGCACTTTCTCAGAAACACAACTCCTCAGGCAACTGTTGGTTTCATCCTTCCAGACCTCACTTCAGTTCCTTAAATAAAGCTGTCTCTTTCTCCTTGGGCTGTTTATTTCCTTCCCACACTGAGCATTGTGTCACTCTGTGTGCTAATCCTGAGCAGTTGATCACCTCTTCCACAAAGTGAGTATGCAGAGTGTTTTGTTGTGTCACCATAGAATGGCTTTGCTTGCAGCAGTACCTTATTTCACACCTTCAATACCATCAGCACAGATGAATTAATTTTAATGTTGTAGAAGAGTTTGCTGCCACAGGGGTGGTCACACAAAGGTGAAGGCTGTAGGTAGCGATTTACCAGTCTGAGGGCAGGTTTGCATTCTGGCCTCCCTGCTGCACTGTGCACTCTCAATTTTTTTTTTGTTGGTGTTTGTTTTGTTTTTTTTTTTCCCCTCACAGAATCGTTTAGGTTGGAAGGGACCTCTTGAGCATCTGGTCCAATCCAGCTCGAGCAGGGTCACCTGGAACAGGCAGACCAGGACTGTCTGTTTGGGTTTTCAGTATCTCCACAGCTGGAGACTACTCAGCTTCTCTGGGCAACCTGTTCCTGAATTTGACCACCCTCCCATTAAAAAGGTTTTTTCTTGTCTGCAGATGGACTCACATTTCAGTTTGTGCCCACTGCCTCTGGTTGTCACCGGGCACCACTGAAAAGAGTCTGGGTTCCTTTTCATGTCCCATCATCAGATACTTGCACATGCTGGTGAGATCTGCCCTGAGTCTTCTCCAGGTGGCTGAACAGTTGTAGGTCTCAGCCTTTCCTCCTAGGAGAGATGCTCCGGTCCCGTACTCACACTAGTGGTCCTTTGCTGGACTCTCTCCAGTACGTCCATGTCTCTTGTACTGAGGAGCCCAGAAGTGGACACAGCACTTTGGACTTAGAGGGGAAGGGTCACCTTCCTTCACCTGCTGGCAGCGTTCATCCTAAGGCAGCCCAGGCTGCTGTGGCTAGGGTAAGGTTTGCTGCCAGGCTCTCCCACACGCCCCAGGCCAGGACATTGCTTGGCTGTGGGAGTTGGGATGGTGTCACTGGTTGGGATTTATGTCAGGGAGCAGCAGGAGAAGCTGAAGATACCCTTGGAGGAATCTGATGAAGCCATAAAATAAATCTTCACGCCTATGTTCTCCAAGTGTGGGTCCTGGATGCTGCTCTGGTGGTACGACCAGTGATAGAGACGTTAAGGAGCCTACTGCTCCCCTGACCTCGGTGTGCAGTTTGCAGGACGCAGTGCTTCTGACTCGTGGGTATTGGCACCGCCAGCGTCCCAAGCCAGCAGGACCGCTTCTGACAGAAAATGCTGATGTGCCGCATGGGATGGGGTTAGTGATTTGGTTGTTCCTCACACCCCAGTGCTAGAAGCTGGGTACCAGCTTTGCAAGCACCTTCCAGAGCACCAGGTACCGGGGCTGGTCTAAGCGTCTGATTGATAGCGCACTATGCATCGGGGAATGTTTTTATATAAGGCAGCATTTGGGAGCCCTAACTGTTACTCCTGGGTTCCTCTGAGGCCACAGCTCACAGGCTACCCATGACTGCTTTGTGTGGGCAGGGAGAGGAGGATTTCCAGGGAAATGTGTCCTATGGCTGGGGAGGGTAAGTTTATGTAAGTAGTGAAGGTAAGGTTTATGTAAGTAGTAAACCTAAAATTGCTGTAGAGCTGGTAGTTTTGGTTGGAGTTTTTTTTTTTTAGCAATGTGGCAGGCACTGCCCAGCTGATGCAGATGATTTTGGGACAGCCTCGGTGGGATACAGGTTTCCTTTTTAATACGGGTCCTCTGCCCTGCGTGCTTTTGGGATGTATCTGCTTTTAGGCAGCACAGTCCAGCTGACGAATTAGATCATTGATCAAACTGGCGTGAAGGTAGCAAAATGCTTTTTTCTTTTTTTTCTTCCTTTGGAAATTCAACCCATCTGACCCCCTCAGAGAGGCCAACCTTCTGGCTGAGAGCACCTTTGCCCCACAAACACGTGTGGGCAAGAGCCAGCACAGAGACATGTTCAACCCCTGCCTTCTTAGTTTTTTTGTGCTAACCTAGCTGCCGGCTCTCAGGTGGCACGGCTGTACCCAGCAGAAAAATCAGCCCGCTGCGGTGAAGGTGGTCCTCCCCCACGACTGATTCCTGCTTCTGTGCTCTGGGGGATGCCGTGGTGGCTCTGGAAGAGCCCCCACTCCCAGCTTCCCCAGATGAAGGTGTGCGATTCTCTGGTAACTGGGCGCTTGCCATGGCAGCAGCAGTGCCCAGGCTGTGCTGGCTGGGCACCACAGGGGTCTGGGCTCGATGCCCATGCAGGTAGGGCCGGTGCCTCCCACACCGATGGGAGACATGAACAACGAGGACAGAACCTGAGGGGTGGAAACCTGGGGGCCTTGTTCAGGCCACCCTTGTTCCTTGCGCTGACTATGGTGCCACGGGCAGCAGCGGGCTGAGGGTGGTGAACAGTGCCAGACAGGGCTCCAGCTGCTTGCGATGGGACATGGGGTCATTTTTGTCCCTGATGAGCTTGGCTTAGGGCGTTTCAGCCCGGTCGGTGCCTTTTGCCCTGTGGGAGCCGTGCCTGAGTGCGGTGAGCTGCAGAGACCCTTAGGGAACGGGCCAGTTCTCGCCTCTCCATCTCCAGCACAGGTTTGTGATACACTGAAGCATGCTCCAGGTTCCATCAGGGGACACAAGTAATTCAGATAGCTCAGCAGTGTCCTGCTCTGGCCAGAAGCACTGTACATTTGCCTCATGTCAGGCTAAATGGCGATCCAGGCTGTCCTCTGGTGAAGCAGGCAGGGCTGGGAGGTGCCACTCGGACAGCCTCTAAACCCCCAGCACCTTTGCTGGCGGAAACTCCATCTCCTTAGCAAAGGAGGGAATCAGCTGCTCTGGTTTTCAGAGCTTTCTGAGCTAGTCGTAGTCACTCTGTTGTTATGGTGATTGCCTCGTACCCCTGAAAGCGTCCCTGCAGCTCTTTTCAAGGAATAAGGCAGGTCCTGGGCAAGGGTTCCCACACCCAGACGCTGCTGAGCTGACCGTGCCACAACATGGGGACTTCACAGCAAACACGTGCCGGGAGCAGGAGCTGAGAGGCTGCTCGGCTGGGGAGGGCAGGAGGTGCGGTACTGGCCTAGGAAAGCTGAAAGCGAATGGAAAAAATACCTTTGACCTAGAAAACTGAACCACTTGCTGAAGGTTTGATTTTCTCGCTACTTCCAGCCCAGGAGCAGCTCCAGCAAACTCTGTCCCAAGCGCTGTGCCAGCAGCTTGCGGGTGGCTGGGCTTTAAAGTCCAGCTGGGACTTGTGTAACAGAGAAATGTACCGTCAGAGAAAGCGCGGGTTCAGATGTCCACTGATGCGTCTTGTTCTCGGTAGCTGCGTTGCCTGTGGGGACCAGCCACTTTTCTAGGTCCTGTGTCTGCAAGGAGAAACCCTGAGAAGGGCTGGGGTCTCACGCTGCAGGCGCAACCCCAGCAAGCACTGGGATGGACTGCGATGCTGCGTGGGTGGAGGCCAAGTCCCTCTTCTAAATCCTCCCTGCTGATGCTTGTCCTTCTGGGCCAAGATGTGGGACTTTCGAGTCCTCTCAGGCTGATGAAGCAGTAGAAGGTGAGGAAACCTTGATGCATCTGACAAGATGCTGCAAGGGGCTGCTTGTGCCCATGCCATCTTCTCCAAACTTCTCCACAACCTCAGGTAAGGTGTAAGCAAGCTCCTCACCATCGGTAAAATGTGCTGGCTGGGTGACACAGCCGTGTCAGGGAGAAACCTTGGCATGCCAAGCTCTTCCCAAACTCCTGCATCTTTACTGAGTTAAAACATGACACAGGCACATCACTGGTCATTCTGATGTTGGTCTAAACAGCATGAATGTGTCGCTGGGAGGACGAGGGAAGGTGGCTGGTCTCTGTAGGGAGTTTCTTGTGTGGTTCACACCAGCTCTGTATGAAGTTAAGCATGATATAGGTATTCCTACACAATGCTACAGTTTGTTAGCTTTTTATCTGGTTCTGCACAGTTAAAAACTCACCTGCTCTTTACACCCATGCTTGCTGGTTACAGAACACCTGCATTTGTAGAACTCGCTGTCAGCCACTCTTAAATCACTTGGGGTAGTTTTCTCCTGAGAAAACCAGGGAATGGAGATTGTCTCCAGCACCAGATTGGGGTTTCATCCCAGAAACCTTGTAGTGCCCAACGCTAGTGACTTGTTCCTGCCACTAGTCTATATGATTTATAATGAGCCCATTGTCCTCCACTAGCACGTGCTGTCCCCTGTCCCTTCTCAGCAGCAGCCTCCACCATCACCAGTCTGCCCTCCGCATGCTGACTTGTCCCCGAGATCAGCCACTGTGTGCGTTGATGTGTCTGCCAGGTGTCAGCTCTTGATTGCTGAGCTGCTTTACAGTTAGCTGCTGGTCAGTGTGACCGTGGGGGTGTGTTTTGGGATGGGGGCTCCTCGGGCTCTAGCCCCAAGCCCCATGGATGCTGTGCATGCCAGGCTGCAGCCATCAGCCGCTGCCTCACTGGCGATCCCGTTGGAGAGCAGGGGTGTGAGTTGGGCTGGATGCAAGGAGTGGGGCTGGGATGTGCTATCCGGACATGTGGCGTGGGACCCTTCCTGGAAGGGCAGGACAGTCTGTGGGGACCGTGCTCGGCTAATGCCAGCTTCTCCGCTCCCCCAGGCGGAGCAGGACTGAGAAGCACCTGCTGACTTCCTTGTGGGACGGCCACAGCCTGAAGATTGGGATGGTCGGTGGGGGCCACCTTGGGAAGCAGCTGACACAAGCGCTCCTGATGCTGAGCTGTGCTCTGCACCCCAGCACCCACATTTCCACCAGGCGCCCCAAGAGCCTGGGTAAGTCCTCCCCAGCCTGGGCCTGGAAGAGGGACTGCACTTATGTGGACCTTTAACTGCACTTCTTCATAGCGCTTCAGGCAGAACTCACTAAATAATATTTTTCTGCCAAAAATACTGAAGGTACGGAAACTCCATTTTTTTTACTGGGAAGCAGAGGATGCTGTTGTAGAAAAGATCTTGATTTGGTTGGAAACCCACTGTCAACCAAACATTAATTTAGTTTTTGGGTTCTTTTACCAGTCCCATCTGAGTGTGGTGGAGGCATTAACTGAATTTTTTGAACGCTGTCTATTTTAAGGTCCATTTTAGTTTAGTCCCCCCCATTTTTGTGGCTCTTCAAAATTCTCCTTGTCATTTGCCGGTTGGTGACTGAGACTCCAGGCTGTTAAATACTCACCCAACAAAGCAAGCATCTCCCCAAATGAGCAGCAGTGCTGAAACAGACAGCCCTCTCCTTGTTTCACAGCTGCAGGGTCAGCTGTAGCAGACAAGATGCTCGCTGGGCTCTGAATGCCCAGCCAGGAGAGGAGACCAGCCTGCAGCATTACCGCAACTGTTTGCATACAAACTGTCAACTGCCCCGTAAACTCTTCTGTAAAACAAGACAAGTGGGGAGAACAGTCCTCCAGGGAGATGCTTGGAACAATAAAATCCTCTTTCTAATCATCTCAGGGCAGAGAGGAAGCAGGGATTATTAAATGGATTTTTATAGATCTTGAAAACTAGCCAGACCCCAAGGCTTGGCTGTTTCAGCTAAAGGCTTTAAATCAGCCTGCGTGAACCAGGGCCAGGCAGCTGAGCTCTCTGCCTGCTTGTTCCTGGCAGAGAGGCTGCCTGCTCTGCGTCGCTCTGCTGCTGGCCTTTGCCATGTAGGAATGGTGATGGGCAGTGGCCAAAGTCCCCCCGTGCCACTGTGGGCAGGCAGCCAGTGGTCCCAGCTGGGGAGCAGTGGTTTGTGTTTCACCTGCATGTGGCAGAGCACAGGTAACAGTGCTGCTGGTGCCCAGAGGTGCTGCTCGGTCACCCGTGCTTGTTCCGTGGGCCTTTGAGTCCCTTTCTCCTGGCTTCTCGCAGCAGACCTGCAGAAGCAGGGCCTCGTGTGCTTTTATGGCAACGCTCAGCTGGTGACCTGGGCAGACATTGCATTCCTCTGCTGCCTCCCGTCGCATGTGCTGTCCATCTGCTCCGTTTTTCAGCCTGCATCCAGAAACCCTGCGCTCTGTACAGCCTCGTCACCGCCGTTCCCCTGCTCAGGTAAAACAGACCACGTCGTTTCAGAGCCTGGACGGGCTGCCATCGTGTGGGACCTCACAGGGCAAGCACAGCGTGCGTGCTCTGGCCGAGCCTCTTACTGCCTCTCACAATTTTATTGTGAAATGTCATTGCAAACCTTGTCATGGCAGGTCACTTCCCCAAGGCCCCAACTGCTGGAGTTACAGGAATGCTTTTGAGCTTCTGCTTTCTGTTTGTCTAGAGGAAGCTGTAGACTTTGTGGCTATAAACCTGAAAACACAATCAAAATGAGCCAAGGGCGCGCCAGATCAAATGCAATGCTGATATTGAAACCCCGCTCCTGCCCGGGCCTCAGATTATCGCTGCGAGATAACGCGTTGTGAGACAGCGCAGGAAACAAGGTGCGAGGAAGCAGCCTACAGTCTCCATGGTCAAACACGTAAACCCAACGCATCGTGTTTCAGTTTCAGCTGCTGCCATAGCTCTCCCGAGGGCTCTGAGTGCAGGGCTGTGACCTGTTCCCCCTGCTCCTGACCCCTGGGGCTGCCCAGCCCCTGCGCTCAGGCCAGTCCTGCCCTGCTGCTGAGGGGACCAGTGAGGGGCCAAATGTCACGCTGGTCTTCGCGCCGTGGGCAAGGCTGTTTCCTCATAAAAGGTTTGCAGATCCTGCAAAGGATAACTGCTTCCTCCCCCTCACCAGCTAAACCTAGTTTGTCCCCCATCAGCTCGACCTGGGTGATGCTGGCTGCTGACTGCAGGGCTGAGGGAGGGCAGACGAGTAGTGGGGATCCAGATGGAGAGGGGCTGCGAGAGGAAAAGATGGGAGAGACCTTGCTCAAGGGAATCTGCCTGCAGTGGGGAGGGACTTGGACCTTGACATATTCCTGTCCCACTGCAGTTGGGCTATGACCTATGTGCACTGGGGGAGAAAGCACAAGGATCATTTTTTACATGCACATTCCTCCCCCCCTCACCCCCCATTTTTTTTTTAACAGACCACTATATGATAAAATTAAAAATCCTGCTGTGGCCATCTCTCCACTGTCAGCATTAAGACCCAGGGGCTCACTCTAACACAAGGCAATGAGGGTTCGTCACGTAGGAAGAACCCTTCTGGCCAGTTCCGATGGCTATCAGGAAGGAGCCGTTACCAGAAACGTTAACGGGATGGATCCCAGCAGCTGTTGACTCGGCCGTGGATGGTGTGGTGGGATATTCCCCGCGGCTTCCTCCAAGTTTCCCTCACGCAGGACCCGAAAAACTCACGATCCCGCCCACGCAGGCACCACCGGCCATGGGCACCAGCTCTGCTGCGGCGCATCCTGGCGAACAGCTGCATTCGGTGGTCCCCTGCCAGCACGGTTCGGGGCTGGGGCTGGGCCGGTGGTAAGGGCGTCAGTCAGGAGCGCAGCGTGGGGAAGCAAACCCTCTCGCAGAAATCCTGCTGCTGTACAGCTAAAGCTGGGGTGAGAATCGCATGCATGGAAGGGGGTAGTCATGCACAAGAGGTGGATGGGCAATGTGAGGCAGTCTGTGTCTCCTGCACCAGCTTCTCGGATGAGCACTCGGGGCTCACCCTGCCTTTCAGGTGTGCTGCTTTCCATGTACCTGCCGCCGCTTTCCAAAGAGCTGCCACTTCCTTTCGTCAAACAGCAGCAGCTCTGAGGCTCCATCAGTGAGCAGGAGCAGAGGCACACTTTCTGAGCAAGAACATGGTCCAGAATCTTTTTCTCTTCCCTCAGGCTCAACTTGTATTTCCATGGACGTGCTGTCCCTATTGCCGGCTGCTGCCTCTGCCCATCGCAATTTCATTACACGCTGCTGCATGCGCTTCTAATTCTCGCGTTGCCAAGTGCTCTCAAAGCAGCTACAGTGCTCATCATGCCGTGGTGGCTGAATACACAACTTTATATGCAGCCTGTAAACTTGTTACTGTAAACTAGACTTGTTACTATTAATTTCGGCATCCCTCACCTAAAATGATCCTAGATCAGAGGTTTCAAATAAACCAGCTGTGACTGATTTCCAGTGCAGTTCTTCTCAGGAGGGGGAGATGAGAATATCTCTTCCCAGCTGTGTGCACACCAGTAATTGACATTTGATTTTATTTGTCCTGCAGGGAACAGAAGAGTCAATGCTGAATGGCTGGTGGCCATTTTCTACACAGCCCTGAACAGCAGCATGTGGCAGAGCCTGCCTCACCAGAAGGCACAGAAATTACTCAATGATCTCTGTTTCCCCGAACGCTGCCCATCTGTGCAGAGCAGAAAACTTCCTGCCTGCTGTTTCTGTGCAAGAGTTTTGTCAGCAAAGCTTTTGCCTCTTCAGCGACTCAAGAGAAGTAAGTAAAGGGCTGAATGGTGCAGTACCACTTGTCCAGGCTTCCTCTTTGCTCTGAAACGTGCCTCACCCCACAGCTGAAGCACGGCCTGTCTTGGTGGGTTGGAAGGTGCTGAACTGCGTGTTGCTTGTCTTAAGTGATGTATTGGTGATGAAAGACACGGACTGTCATCCCTGAGTTATTTTGTCACTGGTTCCTCTTTGGCTACTTACCAGGGTTGTCTGAAGCCACTGATCAGGACCGGGGCATCGGATGCAGGAAAAAAATAAAAAATCCTGTGGGAATCACAGAATCACAGAATGTTCGGGGTTGGAAGGGACCTCTGTGGGTCATCTAGTCCAACCTTCCTGCGCCAACCCTCCTGCTGAAGCAGGGTCACCTACAGCAGGCTGCAGAGGACCTTGTCCAGGCGGGTCTTGAATATCTCCAGAGAAGGAGACTCCACAACCTCCCTGGGCAGCCTGTTCCAGTGCTCTGTCACCCTCAGAGTATCCAGTATATCTGGAATATCCAGAGAGGACAGTTCTTATGGGTAAGCAGCTTACAGTGGTTCATGGATTAGACTATTGAGGATGTTAAGTCCGGGGAACACGAGAAAGGACTCCTGCTTGTGCAGGATTGTTCTAGAGCCTTTAGGCTCAGTTTTGCTCTGCATGGCAGAGTAATGCCTGGAACATTTTATATTCAAGTCTCTGAGTCTGTTTGTCAAAGACCCAAGAAAGAGACTCATAGTCAGACATTGAAGAAAATCATTATTGGTTAAATTATTAGAAAGCTGCTTCAGACTGTTATTGCCCATAAATGTTTCCACTTGTTTTCTGTTCCCAGAACCTTCCCCTGCTTTGACCTGACAGCTGCACAACTGAGAGAGTCTCCCTTTAGCCAGCTGCCAGAAAAGAGTGAGCTTCACCGTTGCCACCTTGCTCTACTACACCAGGCATCCTCTGGAGACTGGCCTACACAGCACTGCAGGCTGAGCAGCACCCACACATCTCTTACGTCAGCTGTAGTGGAACCTGGTGTGACGCTGGATGACGAGCCTTCGTTCTCCACAGCTCCTTCCAACATTTTCTCAGAAATTCCAAAGGAAACTGCCGACTATGATTCTAAATCCTCGTAAAGTATAATGAAGCCCATGGCAGAATGCTTTGCTGAGCTCTCATCCCAGCCCCCTCACAGAACTGAGGGGTGCAAGAACCAGCAGTTTGGACTCTTTACGATATTCCAGCCAGTAACCCTATATACACATTTGCTTCTGCAAGCTTCACTCTCTAGGCTGCTCAGCAAACTTGCTTCTCCCAGGCTGCCTGAGTCTTGCTTTATTTTGGTCTGAATTTTATTACATAGGCATCTGTGCCTATGAACTACTTCAGTCTCACTGGGTTTCTGTTGCAGTTTCAAGAGAAAACTGAATTACAATACCAAAGTACTTTTATTTTGTAGTGGCTACAGCTTTGGCGTACATAACTAAACAGGACAAGGCCCGGGTTTTTTTGTTTTTTTTTTTTTTTTTTTTTTCCCATGGGGGATCTCAAGGAAGCTGTTGATGCCAGCAAAAATAGTAATGATTTAGTCAGGACCACTCCTTCTGTTGAGCCAGGCTTTAATCACCACTTATTCATACTTCCTTGCTGGTGATAATGCACCCCACCACCACCACAGACTACATGATACTTCTTTCAAGGCAAAAGGAGGTAACTGGGTATTCTGTCCCAATCCACACAGGACAAAGCATTTTTTATTCCCTGGATTCTCTATTTCATTTTACAGTGTTTTCTTATACTTCCTGCCATCCTCTATCACGCGTTCCAGCACTGTTTACTATGATAAACCACTGCCTGAGATTTTACCTCACAGGAAATCATTTCTGTGGTGAGGCCAGGGATTAGTGGTGCACATGGTAACCAGGCCCCTCGCTTAATTACAACTGCCAACATCAGCTGGCACCACACCTGTATACCAGTTCTTGCATACGCCATCTACCTTCCATCTGGGCTTTACAGTGAGCCCAGTCTGAGGACACTGAAGCCTGGGAGAAATCTTTCACTTGAGCTGCAGGGAAGTTGTTATCAATCACTGGTAATTAAAATATGTCTACGGTTTTTGGTCTTTTTAATCAACTGAAGTTGATTAAAGCAGAAGTGAAAGACAGACAGTGGTACAGTCCGATTTATAGCTTCTACTTCACTTAGTCCCTGGAAGCAAATGAAGGATTGGAGAAAAAAGCCAATGTGGGGATGTGTTTGCTGTCATCAAGTGGCTAAGAGCTGCAATGACCTTTTCTATAATCGGGAGAAGGTGGAACTGTACCTCCTGGAGCAAACTGCAAGGTAATAGGGCATATTCTGCTGTCCCTGCTGGGCTTCTTATGAAGGTGGAAGTGCAGTGTGAGTCTCTAATCCTGCCTCTGGGTGCCCTGCAATACAGGGAGAGCTTCTGCTTCTACCCCAGTCTGGGCTTGTTGCAAAGGAGGAACTGTAGTATAGGGCTCCAGTCCTGCTTCTTGGATAAACTGTGAGAAAGTGAGGGAGTCTGCTTTCTTTCCTGATCGGGACTTTCGCTCCAGGAAGAGACCCATGTTGTCTCTGTATGGGAGGGCAATGGATCTGTTGAAGAGAGGCTCCTCAATCCCCAGCAACTCTCGCACATGTCGTGAAATCTCCTGAAATACAAGACAAAACACCAGAAGTTCTCATTTCACAGGGCAACAGATAATACCATTCATTCTGTGTCAGAGCAGCAGGAAAAATAACTGAATTTCTGAATTTTGGAACAGTTTCACACTTGAAGTTGCAACTCGAGAGGGATCTGAACCGATGAGCCCCGTGTGACGTCGTAAGAGCAGCGCAGACTGCTCATTGTCCAGATTTACTGTGGGGGATGGCATCACATCTGGTGTCTTAGCAGCACAAACAGCTCCGCTTTCCTCTCTGCGCTTGCAGAACAAACAAGTTACGGGTGAATGAGCTGGAGTCTATTCCGCCTAATGCAAAAAACATTGCTGTTTGCTAAGTTATGTTGTCAACAACAGAGTCTATACACAGAAGAGGTTTAAAAACTAATTAAACCAGTAAGCCATACTGCTCATTAAGAAAATGACGGGTGACTGGCTGTCTGAGCCAGCTGGCCCTGGCACTGTCAGTGACCAGAGCCTTGCCACCATTTTTGAAGCCACTTCTGAGAATGTAACCTTCTGATTTGACTGAAGCTTCGAAATACAATTCACAAGGTTCTACTGATCTTTTACAGCATTTGCCCAAAACCTTCCCCCAACCTTGGCTTGACTCTGAAGACCAGCACCCTGCTTTGTGTGCTATCAAAAGAACACCGGAGTAGTATCGTCAGTGGTTTTGATATTTAAAATACCAGTACGGCGGGATTAAAACCAGCAGTAACCTCACTTGTCCATGCTGCATAGCGTCCACATAGTTCACTGTGTAGTTCTCTGCCAAACGCCATTTCCCCTAAATTGCAAAAAGGTTCTGTCTCACTGAGCTGATGCTATCACATTTATTTCTATAGTAACTATCTCGGTTTGACTGTTTGCAGCCTTTCATTGATATTTCTTGTTGGGAAGATGATAAGCCCAGCATCATGGCCTTAACTCTGCACCTGCTCTGGTAGGCACTTCCTGAAAGACCCGAAGGGCCGCATCCTGCTCAGAGCTCTGCACGCTTGGATTCTATCAGAGTTAAGTTCTCTAAAACACAAATACCTAGCAGGATAGGGTACGATCTTCAAGAACACCTAGGTTCCGCCGAAGTCTGCGAGACGTTCCCAACTCACAAGCTTTGCAAAACATTACAGAGACAGTCTCATTTCCAAGCTTGCTGCAGTATGCTGGCTATTCCTTATCTTAGCCCTGAGGAATTTCAGTTTCTACAGGAGGAAGAATGGGTTACAGCTGACATCTCTAACCCGTGGCTTTGTGTTTCTCAGCAGTTAAACTACCACCACACATAATCCCTATATCCCAATGTGAGGGGGAGGCGTACAAAGCCTGTAAAATTCTTGCCATCTTCGGTAAGTGCAAATGACTGTAAAGGCTGTATCTGCTCGAAATACTCTTGAAGGGCTGCTGTCTGAAAAACTAAGCATTGTCATCTGATGACTTCTCCTCCAACCAACAGGCAAAGCCATGGCACTAGTCAGTTTTTTCAGTGGCGTATGTCATTTCAAACAAACAGTTAAAATTGTGCAGCCAGACAGAACTGTGGTGAAATTGCTTTTTGGTGCTCTAGCATAAAACAAACAGTGTTCATACTCTAGTTGTTGGAGCATGAAGATTTCTCTCGCTTCCTGGTTATTTGAACTTCTACCCTGTGTCCTCTGGGGAAAACAGCTTTAAATCATGATGCAAAACAAATTACTGGCTCTCTAAATGCAGCCCCGAGTCCCTCTGTGGTTTCCATTAGGGAGGGAAAGAAGGCTAAGTTAACTTGCTTATTTTCTGAACCTTCAGGAAGCTTTGGAATGCCAGACTGTAGCTCTAAACTTCAGTCTACTTAGCTTAGCTATCTGTGTTTGTTAAATAAAAGATGTAGGTTTGAAAGGAAAATGACCAGACAGTTACATGTTTATAAAATGAGGAAGAGATGCTGTCTGTGTTCAGCAAAGTGTAAAACAAGGAAGTAATAATGAGTTGCCCCTCGGCTGCTTGAGATTGGCTGCTCGATTGCCGCAGGTTAAATCTGACTAGATTTTCAGAAGTTCTACAAATCAGTCAGTGGAAAATTACTGAAAAGAAATTCTGAGGGATACCTAAGAACGGCACATACGTCTTGCTAAGCAACTTCATGGGGCAAAAGGAGCAACATAGGCTTAAAAAAAGCACTCCTGATGCACTCACGGTGCCCCGGAGAGGAACCCTGCGATCTCCAGCCAGCTGAGGGTTAATACCAGAAGTGACTCGAGAAATCTGTTTGGCTGAACAAATTTGGTTGCCCAGCTTCAGTCTCACTCTCTGGATCAGCAGTCTGCCTGGCCGCCCGGGCTATCGCCTAGCATACTGGCAAGCAGGACGGGTCGGGGCTGGGCTCCCAGGGGCTGAGGAGGGGGCTCAGCACCTTCATGTGGCCGAAGTCCGTGAGACCCATGGCGGGCAGGCCGGAGCAGTTCAC